ATCAATAAAAGATGACTACTTTGGACAACGCAGACAATCTTTGTGGGTGAAGTAGGTAATTTTGAGTTGTAGGTACGGATTGATGGCTCTTTTTGACGTGGGACTTGCGAGCTTGATTTATGACATATGGACTTACGACTCAGGACTTTTGATTTTTGGATATCAAGTTCTCCGTTGTATTTCTTGTAGCACTGACACAGCAGTATTTATCGAATCCAAAAACGTCTTCGATTTGCAAGAACTCATGAAGTTTGCAAAACCTATGAAATGCCGGCGTAATTTCATAGAATATCAACAAAAAAGTATTTTATTTATTATTAAATTTGGTCTTTTTTACTTTTAGTCCGATAATATCAGGAAGTCCCTTTCCCGACAAATCAACCATGGTGAGATCCGAACCCGGTTCTCATGGTCACAATGTGACTCTCTCTCTCCATATATATATATATATATATATATATATATATATATATATATATATATATATATATATATATGTGTGTGTGTGTGTGTGTGTGTGTGTGTGTGTGTGTGTGTGTATGCATAAATATATATGTGTGTTGGTTAATGGACACTGAGGTCAACAGCTAACACTGAAATGTATGTGCTTCTGGCTTGAATGCAATATTCAGACCATGTATTCTGTATATATATATATATATATATATATATATATATATATATATATATAGTATAGACTATATAGTATTTATATTTATATATAGTTCTGCATTTGGACAGTAATTCCTCTTATTTAACAAGATGAACAAGATAAATTTATTATATTTTTATTATGCTTTACAAAAGTCATTTTTTTCAGAATGATAAACATTTTTTGTTTGAAATTGAAATTATTTATTCACTAAATGCTTTATCTACAATTCTTCCTGCCTTTCTTGTACTATTCAATTAAATAATGAATTCGTTTTCTTTCAGAACCATTTCCCGAATATGGAATCGTCATTATTGTTCTGGGAATTCTGCTGCTTATAGTGTTGATAACAGCCTTCTTTATTTACAGGTACGTCTGCTTTATAAAACATTCGCTTACACGCTTCTTAGGGTATCATGCGTTTAATGTCATGTCATTTCTCATTGCAAGAATATATCATTATTTGTAAGTTCACATTATGACAAAGCATTATTTGTAAATACACATTATCACAAAGTATTATTTGCAAATAGGCATGATCAGAAAGTATTATTTGTAAATGCACATTATCACAAACCTCCAGTTACCCTGCTTATTTAATAATTTTTTTTATTCAAAATAAATAAACAAATATGTATTTAGACATGGACTTATCTGCCTTGAAAATATGTTACTTTGGCAGTTAATAATTATTAATTAATTATTATCAAAACAGAATTATTATTATTGTTATTATTATTTATCTCGGGTTATCGCTGTGTTGGATGCAGAAAAAACATTTTATCCTATTTAACATGTCATTGTTATATTTGACGTTAATTTGCTATGAAAGATTACATCACGATGTATCATTTTTGGTGTGTTACCATTGCAAATACATTGGCATAGAAAATATTATTCTCGGATGATTGCTGTGTTCAGATGCAAAACAGTTACTTTATACTATAGTTAACCCAATACAAATCACACTCAATGTTGAGGGTTATTCAATTATATTGCAATGGCATACAAGAACGGAACATAATATGAGTATATGTAGGATAGATAACGATTGATCCTAGACTTGAGGCGAAGATTGTATTGATCGAGTTAGGTTTTGTGACGTACGGTGGTTGTTAATAATTAAGTATAACCCAAGACTTCAATGTTAAGATAAAACAGTATTTAATAAATAAATAGTTAACAAGAACAAAGAAGTAATAGTCAACCAAATATAATTAACCATTTCAGTGAATACATTGTTAGTAGCGCAGCTCGGTTTAACGTCCGGTAAATCCTAAAGCAAAACCAAAATCATTACACGCTAATTCGACTGGATAGTTCCACTCAATAGGCAATAATCACAGCAGTCAGTATCCTGACACCGCTATTTATACAACTGGCGGAAAACATCTATTCATAAGTCCAGAGTGACATGATTGAACTTCGGTGTCGGAAGTTACTCGTTTTCTTCCTATATGTCAGTAAGCATAATCTCTGTAGCTTTTTAAACTATGCAACATTTCTGTTGAAGAAACTAGCTGAGCAGAAATTCCACTTTAATATGAAGTGAATGCTTATGAATCAACTCAGTGTACGTTTTCTGGCCTTCGTAGCTTGTCATAACTTGTGGAAATAAAGAATGACACCAATATGGTGATAGAGTAACGAGAGGCTCGCAAACGAGGTTGAAGTATTGGAAAAAATTCATCACCCAAAATGTAATATAAATACTTTTGAACTCTGTCAAAACTGTAATGGAAGAACTGGGCAGCTTCAGTCTACATATGGCAGCCGTTCTCTATTTTGGGTCTGACAAGGTTCTCTATTTTGGTCTGATAAATTTCAGATAGTGTGTATATATATATGTAAATTATTTTCAGATAGTGAATATATATATATATATATATATATATATATATATATATATATATATATATATATATATATATATATATTAAATTTTTTCAGATAGTGTGTATATATATATATAAATTATTTTCAGATAGTGAATATATATATATACATATATATATATATATATATATAAATTATTTTCAGATAGTGTGTATATATATGTAAATTATTTTCAGATAGTGAATAAATATATATATATATATATATATATATGTGTGTGTGTGTGTGTAAATTATTTTCAGATAGTTTGTATATATATATGTAAATTATTTTCAGATAGTGAATATATATATATATATATATATATATATATAATACATATATATATGTAAATTATTTTCAGATAGTGAATATATATAGATACATATATATATATATATATATGTAAATTATTTTCAGATAGTATATATATATATATATATATATATATATATATATACTAGACTATAAGAATTTAAGTGCAGTGGCAGACTGATGGCAAAGTCTCATAAATTTAAAGATGAAATGGCTAGATGGAACCGTAAGTTCTATGGTGAAAGTTTCTTCTATCAGACTTTTCGCTACTGAAACTCTCTTCCTGCTTCTTGGTTCCTAGTCAACTTTTATCGTCAAAACTGTAGATGAAATGCCAATCGTTACCTTTCTTTTCTTAATTCTTGTCTTTTTTTCTTATCCTTAATAGTAGTTATTGTTATATTCTCGAACTCTCTGTCCTCTCTTGCGTTCAAGTGGCTTTATTGCCTTGTTTGGCGTCTAAAGATTTTAATATATATATATATATATATATATATATATATATATATATATATATATATATATATATATATGGTGCAGCTTTTATCATAAAGAGGTAAAGTATACAAAGAATTAATTTACAATGTTACTGAGATTAAAGGCGGAATCGCTTCGCTTACAAGACTTAATGAGACATTAACTCATCAATTCTTTGAATAATACGATCCGTATATTTGAGTTGTTGATCCTTATATTTGAGTTGTTGGATATTTGAGTTGTTGTTAGATGGAACTGAAGAGCCGAGTACATTCAACAATTTTAAATTTTCATCTTCAGAATGAATTTTTCATTTACTGGCAAAACACCAAGACTAAATATGTGTAGTGTAGACCGAAATATGTTTTTTTTTTTTTTTAAATATGCTATTTATTGACCTTTATATTATTTTGGGGTGTGTGATGCCGCGAGGCAACAGTTCTTGTTTAAATCAACAAAGTGAGAATTTTGTTTGAATTTTGTAATGTTATAAATTTACAACATTTTGTTGTTATATATGTTTTTTCCAGTTAAAGTGGCATGGACTTAAGTTTAATCCGAATAGTAGAATAAATTGTTTTAGTATTTTTCCACATAATTTACGTAGTGCGGATCTTACTTTCGTAAATATATTAAAGTTTGCAGCTTTTATACCATATCATACAAAAGTAACATATACGAAGAATTAATTAGCAATGTTAATGCGATTAATGGCGAAATCATTTCCCTAACAAGACTTAATGAGTCATTAACTTAGTATCAATTTCTTGAAAAATAAGATCCTTATATTTGAGTTGCTGTTTAGTTGAGTTGTTGTCAGATGCAACTGAAGAGCCAAGTACGTTCAACCATTTTGAATTTTCATCTTCAGAGTGCATTTTTCATTTACAGGCAAAACACCAATAATTAGCAATGTTACTGAGTTAATGGCGAAATCACTTCGCTAACAAGATTTAATGAGACATTACTATCAATTCCTTGAATAATACGAGCCTTATATTTGAGTTGTCGTATATTTGAACCAGATGAAATAACAAATGTCGGCTTTAAGTAAATTCAATACGAGTATAAAAATTATCATGTTTTTGTCATTAATTTCATTGTTGCAAGATTGCAATCAATTTTCGCTTTATTTTCTAATTGATACAACCCTATCATGACACCTCTTCCGAGTGTCAATATCAACATTGTAATATCAGCAAAATAATTAATTTCACGCTCCACTACGTGTTTGTGCAATTAGTGTAAAGAAGGTGTGGCTAATATACGTGGCAATTACTTAAATTAAGACGAATCCGTCGTTTGTTGAGTATTCGTTAAAGAACTTTTGTTAAAGTCTATCAAAGCAAGTTAGAATTAATTAGGAATACAAACTGGTTGCGAATAAATATTTCTCTATTTTTTCTACCTCTCTCCTTTTCTTCCCACCATATTTTTTTTCTTTTCCTCTCTTTTTACCGCTCGGTTGCTCTTCTATATCTGAATTAATTATGTCTGTGATTCTCGGAACAAACATATATCGAAGTGATTGGAATCGACGGCGACGGAAGTAAAAATTAGTGACGAATTTGACAACTGCAGAAACGTTTGCAAAAATAAGTGAATCTTGAGAATGAAACGTTAACATACAGCGTCGAAAATCGTTACATATTTAATGCAATCAGCCTTAACAGAGGCAATTTTATGTTTTTAACAAATCTCCGAAATCAACTGACGATATTAATTTAATTTTAACTGATTTGGACAGAAGCAAAAATAGATAGATAGATAGATAGATAGATAGATAGATAGATAGATAGATGGAAACACAATTACGAATATAAACTATCATCTGAATTCTACATAAGCAAACTAAAATTATTATACACTTCAATACATGAAGCAATATTTAAGATTTCTCAGACTCTGAGAATTCTTGGAAGTTCCACAGGACGTGTCGTCTCTCCTGGTATTTGGAACGCCATACATTATACACACGTTTGTTTAACAAGTCGAATGCACATGGCAACTGATTAGTCAAAGAAAATCAAATAACACAAAAATAAAAAGAAGTGAATTTCTTTCTTCATTTTTGTCTATACCGCATTCTCTGATGAAGACTTAATAAAAGTGAAAAATTTTAGATTGATAGACAATTCCTATTTGTTATTTATCTTCCCATCCTATCGGATTTGATTCATATTTTATCTGTACTAGATCCCAATTCATAGATAGATATATAGATAGATAAATCCACACACACACACACACACACACACACAAACACACACACACACGCACGCATAGATAGATAGATAGATAGATAGATAGATAGATAGATAGATAGAAAAATAGACAGACAGATTGATAGATAAATAGATAGATAAATATTGAAAAATATATAGACAGATTGACAGTTTATCATAGGCAGACCGATACATATTGAAAAAGAGATAGATAGATAGATAGATAGATAGATAGATAGATAGATAGATATTGAAAAATATATAGACAGTTTCACAGAGAGATACATAGAGAGATAGATAGATAGATAGATAGATATTGAAAAATATATAGACAGTTTCACAGAGAGATACATAGAGAGATAGACGGATAGATATTGAAAAAGAGATAGATAGATAGATAGATATTAACAGCTTATAAATAGATAGATATATAGAATGTATGATAGATAGATAGATAGATAGATAGATAGATAGATAGATAGATAGATAGATAGATAGATAGATAGATAGATATTAAAAAGACTGTGATAAATATATCGATAGAAACCTTCTAACAATTCCTGCTGTCATCAGTAAGAGAAAGCATTCCAAGTAATATCGAACTATATGCTTAATATATACAAAAATGGCGGCTAAATTGTAAGCGTCCGGTGCTTTTTGTGTACTTCAATCCGCTTAGGCTGTCAGCTTGACGAAATATTCGATAAAATTAAATACATTTGACGACATTCTGTCTCCTACATATATACAACCCATTATTATCTCTCATATTCCGGAAGTTCGAACGTCACTCAACTTTTATTAAAGTAGTCTACTTGATGGATAATAAAACAACATACAAAAGCGTCATTTGTCACTTTTAACAATGAACAATGAATATAATTTATAAAAAGGATTTAAAAAAAACAAACAAAGAACTGCTGTCGCTTTCTTTCATTGTTGTTTTATGAGTGTAAAAGAAGCTGACCGCGAGGACATGGAGGAAACATAACTACTGACCCTAGATTTGAAAGGGTTAGGATTATAGTAATAATTAATAATATTGATTAGAATCGTTTTTTGTTTGTTAGCGACATGTTTTACTTAAACAACAAAAAATAGTAATAGTTTACATTCGTAGATATATTTCCTCAACGCCAAGCGATAGGGACGAAGGAATTTTTTTTTTAATTCAGGTTTCTGATTATCAACTGCAAGCTTTTTTCTTTTTTTTTTTACTCTGATCGAAAATTAAATTGCGAACATAGATATTTCTCTCTCACTAATAACTCGAGAAATCCAAGGTAAGAAGTTACGTTGAATTTACAATAATAATAATAACAATAATAATATTAATAATAATAATAATAATAATAATAATAATAATCTCCCAGACATCGTGATCAAAAACCACAAAAACAAAATGTACTTTCTTATTCAAATGACAATCTCTGTAGATTGTAGTGTATTTTTGAAGATCTTCAAAAAAACTATCAAAATACTAATTTCTAGATGAGGAAATCTACAGATCATGTGACACATGAGGATGTCAGTTATTCCAATTGTAGTTAGAAAACTCGGATTGATTGCAAAAGATTCCGATGGATACACGAAAAAAATACATTGTAGACCATGCAATGGTCTACAATGAAATGAAAAAAAATGTTCTAAAAAGTACAGCTCAAACATTACGAAGAGTGTTATCTATGTAAACATTATATGATTTTTAGCTCTTTCTTTCATTTCTGTTTTTCATAAAAAGGATCAGTGAAAAATGTCATGAAGGCTTTTCTAATCTTAGGTCTATGTTTGGAACCCGGAACGAAATGTACATAGAACCTAAATCAAAAGAAATAATAATAATAATAATAATGTATAGAATTGTATTTTATTTGGAAGTGACTTGTTAGTGACTTGTTAATGAAAGAGGAGTAGAACTGATATCAGACCAAGACATGAAGAAAGCCGTCGCCTCTCTGACTTTTTTTACAAATACTTTCATGGTAATTGCTCCGAGGAGCTGCATTCACTGGTTCCAAGACTTCATGAATTCAAGCGCCCTACGAGGCTTGCATCCCGCTCTCACCCTTTCACTGTCGAAACTACTAGATGTAGCCGTCTCTTCTACTCCAATAGCTTCATGTCTCGCACCTCTCGCCTGTGGAACTCCCTTCCCTATTCCAGTTTCCCTGAGAGCTATAATCTCCAACTATTCAAATGTAATGTCAATTGACATCTCCAGTTGCCTTGATCTCTCCACTACCCTCATCCTTTCTTCTATCACTCCTATCTGATCTTGCTCTAAATTTTCTGTAACCCCTTGCGTCCTAGTGGCTTCCCGCCTTGCTTGGGGTGAAACGCTTAAAAAAAAGAAGAAAAAATCTGTTCTGGAATATCTCTGAAAGTAACTTGTTAGTTTAAACACACACACACACACACACACACACACACACACACACACATATATATATATATTGGGGCAGCAGATCATTATTCAAACATATATTGTTAAATATAACAGTGTTATAGGATACCTACGGACGATAATGGATATGTGCCCATTCACATAAATACAGTGTTCATGTTGGTCTGCAGTTGGAGATTCATTGTAGAATTCACTTGACTCATTCTTAGTAATTGTCTACTTCTTCTACGCACCGCTGGCGAGTCTTATATGTGTTGTTCTCATCCTAAGTATTATCGTTCATTACCAACCTTCGTTTGATTATTCTAGTCAGTAACCTTCCCTAGGTTGCAACAAACAGACAACGAATGTATGTTATGTTTGATCTTGATCCGTTGTAAAATTCGTATAGTGCTTTTAGTTTCGGAAAAATCTATAGCCACTATACGAAGCTTAAAACGGCTCATGATCAAACATAATAGACATTCGTTGTCTGTTATATTTAACAATATATGTTTGAATAGATATGTTTGTGTGTGTGTTTGTATGTGTATGTATGTATGTATAAATATATATGCACACATACAAACACACACACACACACACACACACACACACACATATATATATATATATATATATATATATATATATATATATATATATATATATATATTTAGTTTTGTATGAGTATGTATGCTATGGTCGCCGACTAAACCGTCGCTCCAACTCCAATTTCTTGGAAGTGAGGCGGGTTGTTACCAACCCTGTAAGATGGGAAAATAAGAAGAATTCTTCACGAGTCCACTATCAGCTCACAAGAGGTGATCACCGTGGAGAAGGCCTTCGGGAAACCACTCCACTGTCAATCCCAAGAAACCTAATGCTTTTTAACTAGCAAATTATGAAAGCTGGCGGCCTGAAGTGAGGTAACTCTATTGAAATTATCTCCTTTGCCCGGCACGGAGGAACATGTGCAACAGGTATAACCTGCCCGTTATCCAGCGACTGTTAGCGTAAATGGTGTCAAACTCATTGGAATTGATCCCTCGCTCGATAAAGGAAGACATGAGCGACACGTGTCGCCTGAACCTCATCCAGAGACTCTCCGCATCAACAGAAAGAAATCATTCTTGGGATATAGATTATCAAAATACTAAATCATCGCGGTCATTTAGAAAACATAAAGCAGAGAATGAGTGGGTTATATTTGAGGCGTATGTCAAACGAGTTGGGAAATCACAGGCTCTTAAATAAAGGCGGAGATAAAATGAAAGAGGAGTAGGACTGATATTAGAGAAAGACATGAAGAAATCTGTTCTGTGATAATCTCTGAACGAATTCTTGTTGTTGAATTGAAAAGAAAGTCTTTCAGCATAATCTATCATGCTTTTAAATGCCCGAATAGCACGAAGTACAGAAGAGTAAATTACGAGGTTTTACTCTATGCTATCGTAGAGTAAAACCTCGTAATTTATTCTTCTGATACTCACGGGTCGAATAGAGGGAAAGAGAGAAAGGGAAAACAACGCATGACATGCCTAGCGGCCTTAAGCAAGTGGATGACAGATCGTGGTCTGGGGGAGGTGGCAGAGGGAAGAAACTTGTTGAGAGCTGCAAGGGATAGAGAGGGATGGAGAGCCATGATCACCTACGTCTTGAAAGTACACGACACATAGAAAGAAAGAAAAATCACAGTAGTTCATTTAACTAAATTCCGAGAAGATGTTTCCTCTATTCTCTTCTTCTTCTTCCATGTTCCGTCTTCAATTATGTCATAGGCAATCATGGCTCTCCCCAATTTCCTGTACTTTGTAGATCTTAACAAATTTTGTCTTTTTGTTATTTCTGCTAAACCTTGCTCCTCCATACATTTAATCTATACACTGTAAAGGCTCATTGTAACTTGCAAGAAATTACAATCGTCATGGGAGACCTTAATGCCAACGTAGGAAACGGGAGAGATGGTGAAATAATTAAAAATTCGGATTAGGAACTCGTAATGAACGAGGAGAAAATGGACCCAATAGTGTGCGGCAAATGATCAGGTTGTAGCCAACATCTTTCAAAAACACTTAAGACGTATATGGATATGGAGGATGTCGGGGGTGGGGAAACGAAAAACCATATCGATTAAGTAACTGTCAATTAGATATCCAAGAAGGCAGGTTTAAACTGCAAAGCATACCCAAGTGCTGACTGTGAGAGCGTCTACTTTCCACTGATATGCAAACTTAGAATGAAACTACGGAATTTGAAGAGGGCCAAGGTAATACTCAAATTGCAATACGACAGACTCCTGAATGGTCCGAATGTGAAGGAGAAATATATGGACAGAGTTAAAAGTAGATAAAATGAAAAAAAAAAGAGAATGGAAGCTCTAAGTGGAACACATTAAGAGAAGATGCAGTAACATCAGCAATCAAGATCGTCCTAAAGAAATACAAAGAAAAAAAAAAGAAGGGATAACAAATAAAATTCACAGCATGATGAAAAGTAGACACAAACAATGCCAAGTTAAGACACAGAATATCGGAATCTGAGTAATGAAATTAGAAACAAATTCAGGCAAGCTAAAGAGGAATGGCTCAACGAAAAATATACAGAGATGGAAAGAATGAGTTTCACAGATAAAGCAGATATGCATAGAAAATAAGAGATATAGCAAAGACATGTTCATTAACATGATGCATAAAATCCAAGATGGTGACGCTGATATTAGAGAAAGAAACATGACTTCAGAGATAGAAAGATTACACGAGGAAACTCTTTCATGACGAAAGTGAACAACCGACATTACACCGGAAGCTCAAGACTTATTAAAATCGGAAGTGGAATCAGCATTTGCCAAATTGAACCGAAACAAATGGGAAGAACTGAACGGAACCGTAATAAACATGCTGGCAGCCTTAAAAGATTTCAGCACTGACGATATTAAAGACATAATAAATGGCGGTGATATACCGGAAA